TCCTCTAGCTTTATTGGCAGCAGTGCTTCCTAAGGCCCACTTGACTTCACACTCCAGAATGTCTGTCTCTGGGTGAGTGACCACACCATCGTGGTTATCTGGGTCATTAAGGTCTTTTTTGTACAGTTGTTCTGTGTATTCTTTTCACCTCTTGTTGATCTCTTCTGCTTCTATTAGGTCTTACTGTTTTTGTCCTTTATTGTGACCATCTTTGAATGAAATGTTCCTTTGGTATTTCCAATTTTCTTGAAGAGATCTCTAGTCTTACCCCAGGATTACGTTTTGTCAGAACTCTCCACTATGACCCGTCCTTCTTGTGTGGCCCTACATGGCATCGCTCATAGTTTCATTGAGTTACACAAGCCCCTTTTGCCACGACAAGGCAGAGATCCACAAAGGGGAAATACTTCCATATGTATCTTTAAAAGATGAGGACTTTGGGGGGGGGCATAATTTAGGGAAAATTTTAAGATGTTCTAGATCAGAACGTATGGGCTCAATATCTACTCAGCCTTGCTATTGTTTAGTACAGCTTCTACCTTGGACCTCTGTTCTGATAATAATATGTGTCCGTCCAGCCCTTTGCAACCCTATGGACTGTAGCCTGCCAGGCTCCTCTGTCTGTGGGATTCTCCAGGCAAGAATACTAGAGTGGGTTGCCATTTCCTCCTCCAGGGAATTTTCCTGACCCAGGGGATCGAACCCATATCTCCTGCATTGGCATGCTGGGTCTTTACCATCGAGCCACTTGGGAAGCCCCATCTCACAATGATAGCCTGCTGTTTGTCACACACCCATTGAGACCTTACAGTAATGCAGTGTATGTGATAGACCTTATCTTCCTTATACAGATAAAGAGAACCTGGAGCTCAGAGAGGTGAAGTAACTTGCCCATATTTCTAATAGTAGTTCACTCAAAGAAATCTAGACTTTCATAATGATTCTTCCAGCCATTGCCTGCTACCCAGTCTGAAATCCACTCCATATTTTGTGTTTGCTACAGTAGCACTCCACTCCTGGTATCAAAATCTGTATTAGTTTTCTACTGCTGCTACAACAAATGACCACCAACTTAGCTTAAACAACAGAAATTTACTATCATACTAGTCTACACATTAGAGTAGAGATCTGCCATAGGTCTCACCAGGCTGAAATCAAAGTGTTGGCAGGGCTGCGTTCCTCTCTGGAGGCTTTGGGAAAGCATTCAGTTTTGCTTTTTGTTTTTGCTTATTTGGGTTGTTAGAATCCAGTTCTTTGCAGCTGTTAATTCTAATATTCCTATTTCATTGTTGGTTGTCAACTGAGGGCCCTTCCTAGCTTCCTTGACTCATGGCCAGCCTTCTTCTTAAAAGCCAGTAACATCAGGTTGAGTCCGTCTCATGCTTCAAATCTCTCCTTCTTTTTCTGTCTTAAATTTCCCAGCTCTTACCATAGCTGGGAAGGGTTCTTTGCTTTGAAAGCCTCATGCGCTTAGATTGGGCCCACCCAGATAATTCCCCCATCTCATGATCTGTAATCTTAATCATATTCTGTGATGTTGTGATTTAGAGTAGGATATATATATTTGGTCTAAAACTTATAGAATTTCATGGGCTTTCCCTGGCTATCCAGTGGTTAGGATGCCACACCTCCAATGCAGAGGATGCAAGTTCAGTCCCTGGTAAGGGAGCCAAGATCCCACATGCTGTGCCACGTAGTCAAAAATAAATAAACCCTGTAGAATTTCCTAAGTGATAAGAGCAGCAGAGCTGTCCTTTGTCACATTGATGTGGTGACTTTTGGAAAGCACCTCATTAAAGAGGTAGAGGTTTGGAACTTTAAGTTCCAGTCCTCAACCTCCGGGGAGGAGGGAAGGTCTGGAAGTTGAATAGATTGCCAGTGACCAATGATGTAATCAAGCATGTCTAGGTAAAGAAGCCGCCATAAGAACCCAAAAGAATGGGGTTCTGAGAGCTTCCAGACTGGTGAACACCTGGAGATTTTGAGAGCGGTGCACTCAAAGACAGTATGGAAGCTCCATGCCCTTTCCCACACCTTGCCCTATATATCTCTTCAATATGGTTGTTCCTGAGTTACGTCCTTTCATAATTAACCAGTTATCTAGTAAGTAAAATGTTTCTTTGAGTTCTTTGAGCTTCTCTAACAAATTAATCAAACCCAAGAAGGAAGTTGTTGGGACCCCCAGTCTTTAGCTGATCAGTCAGAAGCACAGGTAGCAACTTAGGCTTGGGATTGCCATCTGAAGTGAATGGCAGTCTTGTGGGGACTGAGCCCATAACCTATGGAATCTAATGCTATATCTGGATAGATAGTGTCAGAATTGAGTTGAATTATAGGATACCTAGCTGGTGTTGCCAAGAGTTGCTTGGTGGTATAGGGGAAACATAGCTCCTGAAGGTACTGGAATCTGGTCATTAGACCACCTTTTACATTTGCAAAGTTTCTTTTATCATGTTTCCTATATTAGGAAGTAGATATCTTTGGGGGTCTTTAGTCTGCCTACCATATTGTCAGCATCCCTATTTGAACCCAGTTTGGTAGGACTACATTCAGACTTTCTTCACCAGACACCATAGTCATTTCATAATGACCTAGAGGCTCTGTTTATTGTGTATCCTTGTTCTTGCCACTGTATTTGTGTCAGTGCTTTGGGCTGTAAGTAACAGGTACCAATTAGCCAAGAGCTGCTTGAGTTGCTTAAACCAGTAAAGGTTTATTTTTCTCACATAATGACATATTTAGAGATGATTACTGTTCTTGTTACAGTGATTCAATAATGCAGTGATGTCAAGTCCATGGGCTTGATAACTTGGCTGATCTTTCCTTCATGATTGCAAAATGGCTGCCATAGCTCCAGACAGTGCATCCACATTCAAGACAGGAAGATGTGGGAAAACAGAGGGGAGGCTCCAGTTCTCTCGGCCCCTTGTATTAGGAAATCAGATGTTTCCTCAGAAGCCCCCATAAAACTTTCATTACATCTGACAGACCAGAATTGTGTCACATGCTCTCACCCCCTGCCATTGCAAGGAAGCCTGAGAAAATGAGTATTTAGTTTTTCCTAGTGGAGATGGGCAAAGGAAAATAGGATTGGAGTGAAGTTCAGATTAGCCAACTTATAATGCCAAAATTTCAGTTGGTCTAGGACCATGTCTTTGGCTCTCTTTTGCCAATCCACAATTTGAATTGGTATCCTGCTCCTGGGTCAGACACCTCCTGATGACTGACCACCTGGCCAATACTCACTCACTCCTTGTAAGATATCCCTGACCCCAATTAACCAGTTATACCGCCATCTGGGTACGTCTCCTGTTACTGCCTGCTGCTGGCCCTGGAAGCACCTGGCCGCCTTTCAGAGGCCTAGAGACTCCACCAGTCCCTTTGGCTACGTGCAGGCAAGTTTCTATTCTGAAAGCACCTGTTTTTAAATGAGTCATCTTAAAACTTTGTGTGAGTGCACATATGTGCAACATGGTACACATTCATGCAGAAAAAGGGGAAAATAGGCCACATTGACCAAAGACATTTTAATTCTATGGTAGCTTTAAATTCCATCTAGGTAGAATTTCAAATGGCTATATCTTTCCTTTTCTCCTTTGCCTTTAGCTTCTCTTTTTTTCTCAGCTATATGTAATGCCTCCTCAGACAGCCATTTTACCTTTCTGCATTTCTTTT